TTAGACGACTTTCTTCATTGTTGCGAGGGTCTTGGAATCGGACATTTCTAACTGCAACTAATCAGTTGTCATTGGACATTGAGGTCTTGTCTGGTGTTCATGCCAATTCTATCCGGCTTGATTTAGAATTTGCTACAGAAGTTTGGGAAAATTTGAAAAAGATGTTTTCACCTTTTTGGATTGTTATATGGCTTATTATTGCTGTTATGATTGGTTTGTGTATTTTGGGTTACTGCTCATACCGATGCTGGAAACGTTCCCAGTTTAGGAGCGTTTAGCTATGGCTGTACAGGCTTCTTTGGATGATGATACAATGTGCGTAGCCATTTACTTGGCTCAGGCTTGGCGTGCTTAGATCCCCCGCCTTGGGATACTCAGTGACGGGTAAGGACGGAAGCTTCTGTCTACCAACCTAAGACAGGTCGTATTGGGACATAAGCCCTGCGACTGATGACGGGTAAGGAGATGGAAGACTTCTGCTGCCTAAAACAGAGGTTCCTTGGCTGATGCGTGATGAGTTGATAGCATTCTTCGTGCTATCAAAGAGAGATGGGGGAATTATGGCGAGCCATTATGGTGAGCCTTGACACAGGCCTAGCCATGATTGAACTTTGAGTCACCTCGCTGGCACGGACGTGCTCTCGCCCATAGCCACGGGTGAGTTCAGCTGGTAGCAGATGTAACCCATAATGGTTGTTATTGTTTCCCTCTGGAATGTGTGGGCGGTACCCTCGCGCCCTCGCTCCCGTGCAGCTGGAGCGTATAAAAGGGACAGGTTCTGTAATAAAGCAAGCAAGCAAGCAAGCAACCAACCAACCAACCAACCAACCAACCAACCAAGCAACCAACCAACCAAGCAACCAACCAAGCAACCAAGCAACATGAGAAGAAAGGTGCCTCCCGTCTCTCTGTCCTCATCCTTTCAGGTTTAGGACCTGCTGGCAGGATCCTGACGTCGCGGCTCGCGACAAATTTCCACTTCCAATTTAGGCAAAGCAATTCAGGAATAGTGAAAACAATATGTTTACATTACAGAAATTTACATGTATAATTCCCTTACCTAGAAAAAATAACCTAGTTTTCAATGTTAAAGTTATCCTCTATATAAAAGATGTACTTTCCAGTTGTGAAGAAAGACTCATATTCAAAAGAATGCTGACATGCAATATACAAATATATAATTAAAATCTAGTACATGATTTTTATGATGCAGGACACAAACTGGCAAATAACAATATTTTTTAAATATTAACTTGAAATTAAAGTAAATTTCTAAAGAAATCATTTGAATTTACATTATATTAATATTTTAATGAAGGAAAATTCACACAATATTCTGACAAAAAGCGATGCAACTTGAGAGCATTGTGCTAAGGGAAATAAATCAGACACGTGAGCTGAAACATCATGCAGAGGGAGGGGAACAGGATGAAAAAGGCTCATTTATGCTGTGTATGAACCAAATCCACAGAGCAAAATTAAACATGATTTTCTCCAAAAATTACTCATGAATATTTTGAAAAATGTTAAAAGTCAGGTAATGGAACTGTAAGTAAATGCTGATAAAATAAATTCACAGTAAAATTTAAGCATCAGAAAATAGTGGTTCATCTAACAATTGGCAGGACCTGCTTATATGGGGCTCACATCTTGTTGTTTGGTGACCTTACCAGGAGTCAGGTTTGCAGACAGTGAATCTTTCTAGCTTCTCAGGAGGTTTCACAGGCGAGCAGCAAGTGGCTCCTCTCCCAGCAGCTAGCACTGCAGTTCCTCCTTCCTGGGAAAACACTGCCTCTGCCTGAGCTCCCTTTATACAGAGGAAACCACTGAGCAAACCCAATCAGGGCCACATGCTCGGGGATGCACCCTGATCGCACACATCTGTGCCTAATCAGGGCTTCCTTTCTGAGCACACAGGGCTCACTGTAACTGCGTTCTCCAGACACATATAAAGATATAAACTCACATGAAATGGGAAACAAAGAGGAAAGGCCATTATAAATTAAATTAGGAAGGCACAATCTGCCTGCTGTTCTTTCACAAATAATCTCAATTGTTTTCCAACATGAAAATGTTGTAGGTTTCGAAGCTATCCTAGAGAACCATACACACCGTGAACACACGCACAGGTAACTGACATTTGAGGCAGGGCACAGATTTGGAGCACGTGAGCTGAGTTCCGCAGACCACATCAGTACAGAGCTGATCACAGGGACGGGGTTGGGATTAGTTGCAGGAGCCCAAACAGCTAATGAGAAAATTAAGGTGGAAATTATTAATTACTTCAGCTGTACCTAATTTGTATGTTGTTTTTACAATTAAATTGTTTTTATGTCTCCATTTTATATATAATGCAGGATCACAATCTCAGTGGGTTCTCTCTGTACCTTCTTTGGCTAATTTTGTGTTCCTATAAATTCTACTACATGTACTTGGTGTTAGGAAATGTCATTTTAAAGGGAATGGAGAGTTGGAATACAGTGTAGTAAAAATGAGTTAATACTGCAAATTACATAAATGTGAAAATGACAGTTGAAATGATGATTTCTGAGGAATGATAGTAGTTAAGTAAACAACAAGAGGAATAAAACATGATATGGATGTATGAGCAAACAGATGATAGAGCATACCTAGTCCCAAGGCCAGACTAGAATGCAGATCTGGAAAGAAAATGGTGCAGTCTGGGACAAGAGAGAGCTCAGAGGACTGGACTGAGTCCAGGTGGGACCTCTTGTGTGGATGTTGGAGGTCAATTCTAGCCAGCTGGGGTAGGTTGTTTCTGGGCCATTTTGGTGACACCTTTGACACAGTTCCACTTGTACTTGGAACAGCCTGCAGAGTCTGGAAAGCTCCCCGCTCAGGTCCTCACTGCTCCCCAGGAATGCTTGGAGGGGGCTGAGCTTCCTCTTCTCTGGGGATTCAGCCAAGTGTGGACAGGGAGGACTACAGGCCTCCTCCTGACACCTAGAAGCTGAGTTTGAGTCTTGCCCCTTTCTTTGTGTCACAGGCGCAGGCACAGCTGTGGGTTTCAACTAGCATTCTTGCCTGGTGCTTGGGGAATGAACACATGTCACAAGTCACTCTTCCATGTGAACTCTTTAGTTTCTTCCCAGCAGTCACCATTGTCACTATTCCTTTCCTTGAGTCATTAAAATGAACTCTTCCATGAACATTTAGGTCTTCTTTGATCCCCAGTTCTTCTCCCTACTTAGGAAGAAGACTGTGGGGACCAGTCACCATTACAGAAACATATCTGACACCTCTTGTGGCTTGTTCTGTGACTAAAGTCTTCACAGTCCTCAAAAATGATCTGTGTGGGAGAACAGAATTGTGAGTAAATCACCCTAAACCAATAAATCTTCAAATATCAATGTAAGTACAGAATTTTAATTCTTATTGCATTGTTTTATTGAAAGTGTTGGTGCAGATTTTTGCCAGTTAACAGTTGAGATGTATAAGATAATATTCTTTTTATTAACATGATTATGATAAGGCTGTACATGCCTGCCTCTCTCATTGGGCTGCTTGTGCCACACTATGGGACAGTCACATGCCACTCACCGGGAGAATCATGCATAAAAAAATGATGGTACAAGCTACCTGATGGAATAGTCTCCATATTTCATTAGTGGTTAAAGCTAGTGGGGACGTGTTAAATTCTCAGAAAAGGGGAAACCCATGGTGGAATATATTCATTAAAATGTCAGAGTAAGGAAGGTTCTTGATTATCCCAAAATTAATTAACTATAGCTTTCCTTAAAAAATGTGAAGCCCCAGCCCGAATGCCTGAACACAAAGACCCAAAGAGATACTGAGGAAAATGTGGGTGATTCATTATACAATGATAATTTATTAATTTTCCAAAGACTTCTTCCTTGCAAAGCAAAATCCCAATTATCAAAGGCATAATGGGCAAATGCTGAGAACAGATGGACATAGAACATGGAAAAGGCTATTCGCTGCATGGATGACTCCCAAGATCCTCCATAAAAAGCAACATGTGAATACAAACCTCCAATTTCTTTTGCAATTTCTCAGAAAGGAAATCTTTCTTCTTTGTTCCGTAAATTTCTGTACTCAGCCAAATGTGGTGGAAAGGGCCCTTTCACATGCAGGGTTGAGGGTTGAATGAGAAGAAATTCCACCAAGAGCCAGGAGGAAGGATAACAGGGACCCCAAGTCTGGCAGCACAAACTCAGAAGACTGAAATCCAGGGACCAGAAAAGCACTAAGGAATTCAAGGAGGCACAGAAGGGATCCAAGAAGCCAGGAAGAGCTCAAACAGAGTTGTAGAGGTCCTAGCTTGGTTGTTGGGTGCTCCAGTTGGGCATTTCTTCTCTTGAAGGAATTCAAGAGAAAGAGGTCCCCAAAGCCAGGTAGACAGGACTGGGAAGACATGGAGGGATGCACAGAGGCTTTGAGGAACATTATGATGAGTAGGGAGAACTATGACTGGTGTGTGAGGCACACCAAATTATGGAAGGCCCAAGGAGAAATGAAGGGACCCCAGACCTGGGAGAAAGGCCCAAAGAGACATAGAAGGTCCCACGGCTATACGGATGGACAAGAAGAGGTGCTGAGGAATCCAAGAGGGGTGCAAGGAGTGTGGAACTTTCAAATGGATTGAGGGACTCAGAAGGAACCAAAGCACCAGGGCCCTGGCACAGTGTAATGGAGAGACACAGAGGAACCATGGGTCATTTAGAGATAAGGACGGACATGAGGAGGAGAGGAGGGAACTGAGCCTGAAGTGTGGGACTTCCCAGTAGATGGAGGGACCTGAGAAGAAACTAACGGACACAATTTCTCATGTAGAGGGCCCTGGAGGTACTGAGAGAGCCATGCTGTGGCAGTGACAACTAAAGAAGTGCTCAAGGAGAGAAAAAGGAGCCATGCAGGAACTGGGTCCCAGTGATTAGTGGAGGGACAGTTGGGGACAGGAGTAGACTTAAATCTGGGGACGAGAACTGAGGAGAGGCATAGCAATGGAGTCGTAGAGGTAGGAACAGGGGCAGATAAGCTGGCATGGAGGGACCCCACGTTCTGATTGTGAACCCTAGAGGTGTGACGGGATCTAAGGAGGGACAGAAGGATGTGAGGACATTTGGAGAAGCTTGAGGAGGATGAGTACAGGGATGGGAACTCTTCCTCCTGGACCCAATGTGTCCATGGGTGAGCCCAGGCAGGCCTGTGAATGACACTTCTGGGTGAAGGCAGGTCCTGAGGAAGACAGCCCACGTGGGAGCAAACCAAGCTGAGACAGGTACCGAAGAGCATATGGATGTTGGAAGAAGGTTTTTCCAGGGCAGTCAGTTCAGCTCAGAGTGCAATGTTTGCGTCCAACAGCAGTCAGGCAGGACTCCATGACAGGAAAGTTGGGGGACAGGGGTGATCGGCCTGGACACAAAGTTTGGAGGCGGGGCAGGCTGTGGCATCATGAGATGTGAATAGAAAAAAGCACCACCAAGTTACCTAAGCCCAGGAGCATCAGAGAGAGGCAGGGGAAGCCGAAGTGTGGCTGGCACTGCAGTGCAGAGGGCAGTGAAGCCTCAGGCTCAGGACATTGCGAAGTGACGGTCGGTGCACAGACCTTGTGTTCACAGGAAGAGCAAGGTGTCTTCTGTTTGGGCAGCAGATGTGGTGAATTCCACTGAAGACTCAAGAGCAGCTGCCAAAGCAGGAAACAAAGGGAGCTAGGTTTCCCATTGTTCTCCAAAGCAAGCAGGCCCCAGTGTTTGAGGAACAGCCCCAACATTCTGCAGCCCAAGTCCAGACACAGAGGGAACCCAGGGCTGCACAAAGTACTGTTTATATCAGGACCTTCAAGAAGCCTGCACCTCACTAAAGCCCACACAGGCCAGAAGACCTGCTTGAGTTGAGCTTTGTCATCTGATGCTTCAACCACGGTACCCAAACTCACCAGGGGCCTAAAAGGAGCCTAGCACTGTGACCCTCAGAGAAGTCCCAAATCCCAGTAAATTATTCTGCTATGCATTCCATACATGCATCCAGAGATGAATTACATACCCCAAGTTCAAGTCACCTCTCCAGACCCCACTTCCAAATATTCAGTATTGAGGATCATGCAGGAGTGCATTTTTGAAAACAGGAAGCCTGATATAGGGAGACCAAATCAATAAGCCAGGCTATATCCCTGACCATTTGCTGAGGATATAAACCCAGAGGGCAAGCACAGGTGCCTTACAAACCCAAAAACAAATAGGGCCTCTAAAGTGCTACACCATATTCCAAAAATGCTAGCATGAGTCCTTTGCCCTGCTGGCACTGTTTATGTATAACCCAGATTTATTCCTCAATTTTGCCACAACAAATAACTGCACGGCAGTGACCACACTTTATCCAAAACACAAGGTCAAACTCGGTGCGAGAAGGCAGCCCTCAATTCCCCACATGATGCCTCCATCACAGTGCACAAGTTTTGGATGCCATGATGTTTTTCATCATCCGAGGAGGGCATGTGATGAGCTCAGGTAATAAGGACCAAGTGGAGTTTTAGAAAAAAGCAGGTGCGTTGGTTGAGGAGATTGATCATAGATTTAGGTGTTAGAATTAATACTAATGGTATAATTGACAATGTGAAATAGGAAGAAAAGGGCTAAAGGTGTAGGGGAAGTGGGAAGGGTAGGGGAAAGGAAATAAGGGGGAAAATCTGAGAAAATAAAAAAATGGAAATAAAGTTTTTGTAAATAGGGAAGGGAGGAGGGGATGAAGGGAGGGCAGAGGTAAGAGGAAATGAGAACCAAGACCTGTCATGTAAAGG